CGAAAACTGCGGGACTTGCGGGTTTGCTGCTCCTCTCCTGCACGCGCGCGGAGCGTGGAGGAAGCGCGTCTCCGGAGCAGGTTGACGGGAAAAGAGGGCTCCTGAGCGTGTGCAGGCGCTCGCTTGGCAATGGCTCTCGGACGCGCAAGGGAATTGGATCTGATTTCCAAGGGGTCCTGACAACCGCGGGCGTGGAAGTTGACTTCCCAGACATTACTATACTGTACTCGTGGATAGCCGGGCACCACCTATTCATGTCAGATAAAGTCCTGGCAGATGCGTCTGCCAATGTGAATCGGGGTTAGGGCGAATTTTGGTTAGCTGTTTTGTGACTTAAAGGGTTGGGCATGCCCAGCTGGCTTAGTTAGATTGTGGTTCAAACTCAGAAGATGGATTCAGTGTGTTGTGTGAATGCAGCTACTGAGTGGCAAGGTTAACAGCACAGTCCTATCCTTGAACTGGCAGACAGGTAGGGGGACACCAGTTATGCTCCTCTGAAAACTGAGCCCTGTTCTTCCTCAGTAGTAAGGCTGGGAATTGGTGCTGTCCTTACAGTTTTAATGTGGAACAGTTCAATGAGAGGTGGATTTTCCTGCCTGCATTCCTCTTCCCAACCATATGATCTTCCAGAAGGTAAAAAAAAAAAAAAGTAAAAATTCGGTGGGCTTGATGACTATAGACATATGCCTTGGATCAAGAGATTTTAGCAGCCTTTATAAGTTTTCAGAGTGTTGGCAACCTTCACGCTGTCAGAGGTCAGCCTGTAAGCCAACCTTTTTCTGATTGTGGTCTACAGATAGTTCTCGAATTATGACCACAATTGGGGCTGGAACTTCTGTCGCTAAGCAATGTCGTTAAGTGAGTCACACCCAATTTTGCAACCTTTTTTGACCCGGTCATTAAGTGAATCACACAGTTGTCAAGCGAATCTGGCTTCCCCCATTGACTTTGCTTGTTGGAAGCCCCCTGGGAAGGTCGCAAATGGTGATCATGTGACCCCGGGATGCTGCAACCGTCGTAAATGCATGCTGGTTGCCAAGGGTCCAAATTCTCATCATGTGACTGTGGGGGTCACTGAAATGGTCATAAGTGTGAGGACTAGTCTTAAGTCACTTTTTCCAGTGCTGTGGTAACTTTGAACAGTCATTAAACAGTCATAAGTCAGCTACCTGTAATGCTCTTCTAGAACAGCAGCTTCACTTCAGCTCCTTCATATCCCAATCAATAAATGCTGCAAGAGAATGGCAGTGCTTGCAGCAAGCAGCCATAGCTGGCAACCCCCAGAAACATCCTGTGCAAAATGGGATTAGTGAAGGCGACCTGGTGCTACCTCTCTGCCAAATGATAAAACCCGCAGAAATATAGCCTGGCAAAATATTATGTTGGCAGAAGCAACATAAAATTCGCAATGCATTAATTTGGGACAGAAACAGCAATAAACAGGTGGGAGAACTAGGTTTTCTTTCCTGGTTTAAATTGATCTCAATACCAGTCCTTTAAAGGGGGGGAGGAGGAGGAGGAGGAGGAGGAAGAATAGCACTCTTTCAAAAGACCACTGAACATGTGACTAAACAGGAACTCTTTTGGGAACCTGTTAGTTAGGCATTAGGTGGGCAGATACATCTATGGGAACCGGCTGGCAGGTCTCAAGCCACATGGGCAACGAAGTGAGAGCAATCCCTGTGACTGAGGCAGCAGCCAAAATCAGCCAATAGGAGCTGGGCAGATCCCAGCCCCTGACAGCGCCACCCCCAGCATGGCATTGCAGAACATTCATATGGCAAGATTTCTTTTGGAAGGAGGGAAACCACCTTAAGTTAAAGACAAAATGAAGCTGACCTATGGTGGGCTGGGACTATGATGAATATTCATTGTATCCCCAGCCTACCATAGGTCAGCTTCATTTTATATGCCTTTAAAAATGCCTAGCAAATCATCTTCATGCCATAGTTAGCGGGCCATGATGAAGAGCCCTCATAGACTTCAGTGGAAGTTGCTCCCCAATAGGTTGGTGTAGAATTGCATCCTGAATAATCATGGGTACGGGGTAAATGTTTGTAACTTTAGAGAGGGTGAAGGGTTACTAAATTCGCTTATACTTGTGATGAAGGTTGGAAGTCACTTTCTTATATACTGTATTTCTTTTCTCTTTTTTTATTATATTCTTACGCTTTTTTCTTTCTTTTTTCTTTCTTTTTCCTTGCACTTTTTACTCCTTCTTTCTATTCTCTTTTCTTTCCTGAAGTTTAGTTCCTATTAGGTTTTACTAGTATAATCTAAATTCTTTATAAAAATTATACATAAACTGAATAATCATGGGTATGGAGCCAGAGGGGTTGAACTGGATGAGTGAAGGGTGGGCTGTTTTATATGTATCATCAAATTAAAATAGTGGATTAGCAAATGTTAGTGGGTCAGCAAAAGAAATGCATAATGGAGTAGTATATAAATACAGTAGTACATAAGAGGTATTAGTTCTATATATGGTAGACACATGCTGTTTGGCTTGCAAAAATCAGGATGATTACTAATTAGCCATAAAGAAATATTAAAGTACCCCTTTCCTGCTCCACTGTTAGACTGCTAAACAGCAAATCCATTAAAATACACATGTGTTGGACATTACAAATATTCCTGACACCCAACAGTTCCCTCCCCATTCTTTTGGGGAGACTATAACCTCTGCTCTCAGATCTGCTGAGATGCCAAATTTGGGGGAGAATTAAAATTTGTATCCAGCAGTGGGGTGCAGAGCAGTTACCAGCAGCAAGAAGTTGGGGTGCATTGGAGCAAGTGGAAGCAGGGAGGTTTGCCAGGCCAAAGGAGTGGCTAGCCCAGTGCAGCTGCTCAAGAAATATCTTGCATTGAACAGGGCACTAAAACTGCTGATTGTTCCTCCCAGGCCCATCCAAGTCACGGTCCACAACGTTCATCCTGAGACAACAGGCTCAGTTCAGGTTAATGCAAAATCACAGATAAGTCAAAAATAGCACAACTGAAATCAGGAGTGCAGCTTTCTTTCCCCCACATACTTCCATGTTTGAAGTTTCCAGTCAATAACCATGCAAATGATGGTGCATTGTCCACCCTACTATTTTTTGGGTGGGGCTGCCTTCAAATCAGTATTGACTCCTGGCAACTGCCTGGACAAGTCCCTGCAGTTTTCTTGGCAAGATTTTGGAAGTGGTTTTCCCCTGCTGCCTCCTCCCTAGGGCTGAGGGAGAGGGCTGGCCCAAGGTCACCCAGCTGGCTTCCTGCCTAAGGCTGGACTAGAACTCAGGAGTGGCAGAGAAGGAGAAGTGAAAACGCCCTCCTTCCTTCTGTGCCACTGTTCTGCTATGGCTGAAATTGGGCCCCTGGGCTTGGGGTGCTAAAAACTCATTTTGTGGCTATCCCGTGCAACATTTGGAGTTCTGCAGCCCTTCTATTTTGTTCAATTAATTAATTAATTAATTAAATCAATTTGTAAAGCTGCAGAACCAATGACTCTTGGCAGTGAACAATAACAAACAGAATACAAGCAGCCTAAATACCAAATACAATTACATCTCAAATACAAGAATTAAATACACATATTAAAATCCATAGCAGTTGAGAAAAACAACACAGTCAGCGATGCTAAGACAGCCAGGAGATGGGTCCTTTCACACACGTGGGGGTGGGTGGGTGGACGGACGGACAGACAGACAGACCTGTCTGGCCAATGGTTCATATCCTCTACAGAACGTTTAAACTTCAGATCTACTGGCAGTACAACAGTTGTAGATTTTGATCACATAAATAGCGCATGCTTGCAGCTGATTCTCTAAGGATGGCAGAATGCCTCGCCTACTTCCAAATGTATGTAAAGCCTGGGAACCAGATGTTGAGCTAGCATAGCAGAGTCACAAGTTCAAAATCCATCTCACTGTTAAAGCTCCCTGGGTGACTTTGGGTCACTTGGTCTCCTTCAGACTAGCTTACTGCACAAGACTGTCGTAGGTATATAATGAAGGGAAGACCTCCTTGTAAGTGGCTCTGAGCTCTCGGAGAAAAAGCAGAATATAAATTTAGCAAATAAATACAGTCTACAGAACTGGCTTTCTGTAAGAGCTCCTTGCCAATAGAAAGTTAGCAAGCAGGGAAATGATCTTTCAACGTGAGATACTGCTTTTCCATTTGCAGAGTATTTTCATTTCAGGTAATCAGAAAATTATTAACATAATGTTACCCTTCATTTTACCCACTCATTCTGCTGCGTAAATATGCCTTTTCCCCAGATGTCTTTTCCTAGCTGGCTGAGTTTGGACAAACACTTAACTTGGTTGCTGAATTAAATCTTTTTTCTGAGTTCACACATTATATCAAGATATAAAGTCCCCAGAGGGGGCTGTGTTTGCCCAAGACACTATTACAAAAATTAGCCCCCATTAAAAGTAACCAACTCTTCGTGTTGTATAGCACGGCCACTATGTCCTCATTAAGCCTGCCATGCAGTCACATCCACTGAATGTCCAGCATGATTTTTGGAATATCTCCTTGTGCTCCAAGATGTCCCTGGGAGGTGGGGGTGGGGTCAAAAAAGTCAAGATAGCAGCCATGATGGTGCGATTGAAGCCCAACCTCTTTCTGATGTGCATCACAGCACATGTAAAAAGGGACGAGCTTTGATCTTACAGCTGCGGCCACCTTCTTGATGTTTTTGACTGCTCCTACACCCCTGTTTGTGCTTAAATGATAAATTTTTGAAGTGTCTGTGATCCTCCTTTAGGAGACACTAGCAATGGCTGTCTTCACTCAACATGCTAATCCCTGAACCCAGATTAACCAAACACAGTGTGGCCATAATATGCTGTGCTTAGTCAAAGAAAACTATTGTGGCTTAATCAGATGACCTGATTTACAGGATGTATTAAACTGATGGCTGGTTTTCCCAACGTCCCAAGCCACAGGCTACCAA